GATTGACTGCCTGACACTGAGGAAGAACTAAGGCTTTTCTTAGATGAACTACCTCTAGAACTCGGCAGGGTTTTCAGATATTCTTGAGGATTGTTCTTTTTTAAAGCAGTCAGTTTTTCTGTAGAAAAAGTTGCAATAGTCCTGGTCGAATCGTTTATATTTGCTGGATTAGAGTCAGGGATTGATTGTTGATTTATGCCATCTTGAGTTTCTTCATTCTCTTCTTCTTCATCTCCACTTTCTTCTGCCTTAACACTGCCTTCTTCATCTTCAAACTCTTCAATAGGAGGCATATTATGGTCGGGGATCAAGGAGTGACCCTCTACCTCTTCCATGTTGTCATCTTGATTTTGCAAGATAGCCTCCTGGTTTTCGACTCTAGGAGAGCCATCCTCAATTTCTTCTTTGATACGGATGCCAGTATGTTCCAACTCCATATTATCTTCGCGCTCAGATCCACTAGTATGGAAATTTTTAGTCGTGGTTTTAAGCGGCAAAGTCTATCGTTGTTCCTCGACCATTTGATTGATCTCACTCATAGAGCTCTTTTCAGAATCTCTGGCATAGGTAGGATGATATGATGGTTCGCCTTCACTATTGAAGATTGTAGTATTGGTAGATTTGGTGGTTGGTTGGGTGGTCACACCTGCATCATCTTGAAAGGAACGATCGAATGAATATATACATAAATAAAAGAAAGCAAAGCAAGATTTAAGGGGTAAGATGTATTACTTTGGTAACATATCCCCAGGGTTGGAATTGTCACTTTCAGGCTTCTTGGCAGCTTTCTTCGACAAAGCCTTAGGAGTTGGCTCCACAATTGTGAAGGCAGTAGGTCTTGCCGTCGAAATTCTCAAACTTTTTATCTGTGGTTGGGCCAGAGCTTGATTCATTTTGAGTTGTCTTCTTCTCTTGAGGAGAGGTTGTTCAACAATTGGGGATAGATCTTTGTCGTCCGATTCAATGGCCAGGACATCAATTTCTTTAAACTTTCTTTTTTGGGGAGTTGGAGGGGGTTTCAAGCGCCCTGCAAAATAAATATTAGAGATATTATGGAGCATATAAAAAGCGATAAAAACAATAAGGGAGATAAAATACCTTTGTTGTTGTTGTTGGCTTATTTTTTCCTTCTTCCTTCACTTCGATTAACTTTTTGGCCGCCGGTTTTTTCAGGGGGATTTTCACGGCTAAAGTAAAACAAGAACAATTATTACAAGTCAAAGAGAATGGGTAATATAAAATGTTCAGTCGAAATCTTCCCCATTCCATAGCTTCATATATTTCGGACTTAATGCAAACATCTTCGATCTCAATATGAAGATGACCTTTGAAATTGTCTAAAGTATGCTTAGTCGCAACCACCCGCTGAGCATGCTTTTGTGATTCTTGTTGAAGGATTTTTATAAAGTCCCTACAGACAAACCGATCTGGGAATGGAGGGATAAAAGCCACCCCAAAGTCAGTACTGAGTAGTCGAGGGAATCTAGGAGGATACATGTCAAAAGTCGTTTCATAACGTTTCTTGGGAGGAACATACGAATGGATCTTTAAATTCTCCATTTTCTTTAAAAGAAATTCTTTTAAAGTAATAGTTGCATCGCAGATGGTTTGACCAAGATCATCAAGTATATAAGCAGTTTCAAAGTATTTCTGGAATGCTTAGATTTCCTTGATGTGTGTCGAAGTACCTTTCTTGACTTTTTCTTGCACATAGAGGAAAGCCTTGTTAATATGATGAGCAAAAGCAGCCACGTCAAAAAACTCTTATTGCAGCAAAAGGTGTCATGTTCGGAGAAAGTTCATAGCGCTTGGCGAACATCATGATGTAACTGGTAAAAGCCTGTCGAATGGGCCAACCATCATCGCTTGGATTTATTTTTGCCAATCATGGTCTTTCGACCCTCATGTTCTTTACCTCTTCAGCATTTTCATCAATTTGGTTTTTGTAGGGAAGGCAAGCTTCGAATGAAGCATTCAGCCACAAGAAGCCAAAAAGGTCCAGAAAGGAGAAGGTTTCCTTTCTCCCCTAGGTTTTTTAGTTGGGTGACACCTTCGCTCATGGATTCGTAGAGGGTAGCCAAGATCATTTCACTTAAACACAGGTTGTGGCCAGAGTGAAGTTGACTTGCCATGGTTAAAAACTTCTTGGCTACTTGAAGCGGTTTTGAGCAAAAGACACAGCGGGATAACCATAACGCCAAAAAAGCTATATGTTTCACATTAGATATATCTTCGATATCTTTGTCATGATAATGCGCAATATGAGTCATGTATGCTGCCTTATATGTGGCAAAGTTGATACCATCCTCAGACATATAGTCAGGGTCGTATGTATTGCCTGTTGGTTTTAGCCATGTGATATCGACTATGTCGAATAGTATAGGTGTCATCATTCCACAAGGAAGATGAAGCGTGTAGTGGGTGTTATCTCAAAAGTACATAGAAGAGAAAAGCATGTTCGAGCAATAGTCCGGACCTACTTTTGACAGCATGATTAAATCATAAATACCCATGTCTTTCCAAGTTTGGGATTTTGTTTTCTCTATATTTTCTTGCTAATTTAAATAATTAGAAGGATCTTTAAAAGAGGGACTTGCCCGAAATGCCCTAAAATTGTTCATATACCTAAGGTCAATGGCCTCTTCAGTCGAAGGAGTGCCCTGGTTGGCAGGACTAGGGTTCTCATCGCTAGCCCTAGGTTTTTTAGCTTGACCTATGGGTTTGTATCTATGGTAAGTTGGGAAGAATTCCTTAAGCTTACTAGGATCAGCGTTTATATCAGACAAAGGACCAAATAAAGCCAATGGCTTACCAGCAACAGAAAGAGGAATAAGTACCTAGGATTCATAAGTTCTTCTTTTTTCTTCAGCAAGCGGTTCAGGAAGATACTGTTGATTTCCTATCATAGTTGGACCGTTGATGGTGTCAAACGGTGGAAGTTGAGAAATCTTTTTGGGAGCCTTCACAGGTTTGACAGTTTCCTTGGGATTTTTTGTGACATCTTTGTTAGAACGGTTTAAGGAAGCCATTGTTGGAATGAAGTAAATTGGGTTGGTAGGAGGAGAAAAAGAATGTGGGTTTAAGGATTCAGAAAGTGTAAAAAGAATTAAAGAAATGTAAAAGGGGTATTTATAAGGGTGGAAGTGGAAGCAGTTCTGAAGCAGCATTTATGGCTAAAATGGGAGTGGAACACGTGTTCTTTCCTCCATCCGTGATGAAGCGGTGGCAGTTAGTACCTAGCCCCATGATCTTCTAGGGTCTAGGATACGTGACGATGGCAAAGATTTTCACGTGGGTTTTGAGGAGATGTTTCAGAAAAGGTAATCATGACTGTGACATCATAGGCTTGTTATAGAAGCTAAACTGTTTATAGCAATGACTCATCAGATGTGTCGAATCATACATGGATCAATCAAGGTGTCGAATAAAGTTATCAAAAAAATGTCTTTTTCTTCAGCTATGGAAAATGACATTTTTGGGGGGCAATTTGTTAGCTCCCAAATTCGACTCCTGGTTTTAATTAAAGAAATAATAAAGAGAATTACGTGAAGTGATGATAGTGTTTCGACAGGGTTATACTTTTTAGCTTTGGTCAAAACAGTCATTTGTGTGAAGAGGAAATGTTGAATAAGATGTGAAAAAAAAATATTTTGAAGATGGTTCGACAGAGATGATATTTCGACGCGTGATTTGAATTCAAATAAAGGAGGGAACTTTTGTTCTTATCCAGATTTGTGAAAAAGGACACATGGAGTTTTTCTAAGAAAAAGAGACATGTCGAGCACCACTTGTCATTTGTTTGTAGTATAACCGTTAGGGTCGGTTATTTTTTTATCATTATAAATAGAAGATTTTAGTGTTAGGATCAGGGGTGTTCCAAAATTTGTACAAATTTTCTAAAATTACTCAAAATATCCGTGTGTAGAGAAAAAGAGTATGTCAAAGAAAATGTATGTTTGATTACACCCTATTTTTGTATATTTTAATGCAAATTTCATATTTTTACCAAAAGTCTATCTCTTTATTATTCAAGTTATTTAATTGTCTTTGATCAAGTTTCTGCACTTTAATTCTTCTAAAGTTCGAAGTTTTTAGTTGTTAGATCATGAATAATATTGAAATCTTCATTATTTCTCAAACTTTAAATTAAGAATTAGTAGCACATGTCTTAGGATTTATGTATTCGATCATGTACGTAACCCAATTCTTTTTCAATTGAAAAGACCAGCTATTTATTCTTATTGCGTTTTGATTTTCTTATTTATGACAATCTCAAAAAAAAAAATTATGTTCATCTCTCAATATTTTAAGGCATCCTTCTAATATATATATATATATATATATATATATATATATATATATATATATATATATATATATATATATATATATATATATATATATATATATATATATATATATATATATATATATATATATATATATATATATATATATATATATATATATATATATAAACACAAGAAAAAAACTTAGCACATATGAATTGAAGTCGAATAAAATTACATTTGAGTTTAAAGGACCATTCAATTATAAAGTCGATGGTAATATGAAAAATAATTACATTAAGATAGATCATTTGTTTGTGCTTATTGATTTGTGATAGTTTATAGAAGAAAAAAATTACCATACCCGTTGATTATGGGAAGACCATTCTTTGTTACATAGATTTTAAAGAATGATAGGATCGTTTCTAACATAGGTGATGAGACATTATAATATTTTATAACTAACTCAAAAAGAAAATCATGTTGAAAAGTTAGAAGTTGTAACAAGTCAGAAGATGGTGCTAAGAAGTATCTAATAGGATCCTTCAATACTAATGAAGTAAAAACTTATGTAGTTTCGTATGTGAACTTAAATAGGCAGGACAAGAGTATGAACATAATCATGTCATCTCTTGGATACAATCATGCATAAAAAATTCAAAGTATAAAACTATCAATCAATCTTTAAAGTACTTATGAGTGACATTTACATCATGGAGAGAGCACAGAACGAAGGAGAAAAGTTGACGCAGAAACAACCAAAGCAGCGAACAAAGTAGGCAAGAAGAAATCAAACTGCGAGGTGCTAACCACCGCATGTTCCGGCAAGCAAACCATCTCCGTCGGAGAATCAAACGGAATCCTCACAAACTCGTGATGGTGACAAGGCTTCGAAGACAACGAAGAAGAAAATTGTGACACCGCAAACATAAAAGCCACACCGGGTGCCAACGACGCCAACACCGCAGTAAGAATCAAAAGAACCGTCCAAGTGGTGGCATACGGAAGTGTGGACCCCAGTCGCTGGAAAATTGAATGGAAGCAAATGAGTCTAGACATGAATTATGAGTGGATTATTATTAAAATATAAAACTGAATTAACGACGACAATTTAAAGGAACAAGTGTTGTCGGAAGAGATTGAGAAGTTATGGGGTGGCACTAATTGTAGAGAAGAAGTGGCGTGGAAGCACGTTTACATGCACTATGACGCAACTGATTTTGTGGTATGTTTAATCTTGTTGGGTTAATGGTTTTTTTTGGTATTGAGTATCTAAACGTATAATTAAAATTAGAGAAAATGGGTGATATTATGACCATCTATATTATTTTTATCAATAAATAACTACTATGAATCTCGCCGCATCACACTATATTTTAAAAAAAAATTAATGATATAACAAACTATTAATTTTTTATTAGATAATAGTGTAAAATTATTTTAAGTTCATATCAATTAAATTTTTAAAATTATTTTAAAATCTTGATTCATTATTTTTTTTATTGCAAAGGAAATAATTAATTAATAATTGGGCCTAAGCTCTGAATTAGTAAGACTACATATCTTCATGTTATGTACACTTTTTTTGTTTTTCTTATTGCATATCTTCATTTTATGTACACTATTTATGTATCAAAACGGGTTATGTACACTATTTATGTACTAAGACTACATATCTTCATGTTATGTACACTTTTTTTGTTTTTCTTTTTTTTGGAAATACATTTTTATAAATTTTTTGGAGATGTGTTTTCGAACTAAATTTATTCATAAATTGAGGTGTGACTCAAAAATGAATAGAATATGTATATTATAGTGCGTCCGAAGATGTATCTCCAAAAACGAAAATTTTTAAAAATGGATGTGGTGCATTATAAAGATACAAAGTGCCTTAAGAAATTGTCATTTTCAATCCAGACAAAGTTCATAGACACTTTAGTGTGTTTAGCTAGGATGTCAGCAACAAGGTTGTTTCTGCACCGCACATGTGAAACCCTAGAGCGTCTGAATAGCTTCAACTTCTTCCTTATGGTTTTGCCAACCATTCTCTAAGCAATTCTAGGACTTTCATCTTCGTTGTCGCTACTCGAAAAATACAACTGACGGAGAGGCGGAAAGAAAGACAGAAGAGTCGCCATCGAACTTTATTTATCCCATGAGGGGAAGGGAAAACATCGAGAAAACCCTAAGAAAAGAACGGATAAGATGGTCTCGCAACCAAGAGAATAGGTTCGGAAGCCGGTTATGCGAAGGGAAGGTATTAATGCCCCTCGCATCCATCGTACTCGATGGGAACCATTTGTTTGTCTATGTGTGAAGGTATCTGCTAAAATATATTGCTTTTTAAGAGTGTTCCAAGGGATAAGGATAAGGGCTAGAAACAAAGAAAAGAGAGAGAACGGGGAAGAAAAGAGACTCGGTAGGACTTCGCGGTCCTAGGCCTACGTATTCTCAACAAATATGAGAAAGTCATAGTCAACGTAGTTCGGAAAACTGCGGATAGAAAAGATAGAAGTATGTTCGGCAAGGATTGGGACCCTCGTGCCTACGTATCTTTACTTAAAAGAAGTAAAGGATCAGAGCAGTCGTAGTTCGGCCTACGGTTTACTGGTGTTTTGGTGGATGATGCTATCATGAGCATTCTAGCAATTAGGTGTATTGCTGCTCACTCATTGGAGACTTAGGTGTTACCTGTTTGCGGTAGAACGAACGTAGCATGTTCTTTTGAAAAGATTAATTTTTGCCATGCGAGGCAAGATGTCACATTTGATTTGTGGAATTTGTTTTTAGGGGTAAGTAGGTCCTCGGATAGTAACCCCTTGCGGGTAGTACCCAATTCTTTATCTCAAAAGAATTATTGTGAAAAGGTGTGGCGAACATAGTCACGTCTTCGTATTGAAAGACGAGTATCGAGACCATACACTTTATAGTGAGCATCTTGACACTCAGAGAGGAAGAAGTCTACACTCAATCCTCCCTGTTTAATTCAATACAAAGAGAACTTTATTCTCTTTATTAAAGGTGTTTTAATCTTGAACGGTAAGTGCTTTGCGACAGCGAACCCTAAAGGTAATGTCAAGCACTCGGGATAGAGAATGCCTACGCCTAACCACTCCACAACCATTCAAGTTTTATTGAGAAAAGATTTTGAAAATGCGCTCGGTGCAAGACCAAGGTTTTAAGAGAAAAAAGTTGTAAAAGCGGAAGCGGTGAATTGGTTTAAAAGTTGGTTGAGAAAATCTGCTTAACGTTGGATCAAGGGTTTGACTTGTATTTGCGTGCAAAAGCCTGGTGGAATGGAAGTGAGTTTGAAAATGGCTCGATGACGAATCGAGAATTAGTTCGAAAACGGATATTGTAGTCCCTGGGGGTGCCCCTAGACGATAAGCCGCAGTCAAAGAAATACGAAATACGTACATCGGAAATGGGAGAGTGGTACATGCAAATTACACGGGATTGCACGAAAATAAAAGATCTCATTGTCAAGCAGCCCAAGAGAAAGCTGTGTGTGTGCAATGTGTCCTGAGTTACGCCTTTGAGTGACAGTCGAGCACAACTCCATTCTTGGGTTCCTGAAAATGTCCAAAGAATCTACACTCGGACAAACAACCAACAGTCCACCAATTTAGGATTTTATGGTTTTGATAATTTATTAGGTTTTTTGAAAGGATGTACAAGTGAAATATGAATATATACAAGATAAAGGTAATATGTACAATAATATATCAAGATAAATATTAACAGGTATATGGACAAGATAATATTGACTGAAAATAAAAATAGAGGTATATTTGACTGAAAGTAAAGTTAGTGGTTATTTTGTTAGTGGATTGAGTCGGGACAAAATGTAACGCTAAACCGTCGTAGCTCGACTTATGATAAAAGTCAAACTATAGGAGGTCGCGTAGATTGATATCTGTGCAAAAGACAAGATAGAGAAATGATATTAAGGATCATTCTCTGATTTAATCGTGTCGCACGGACCAAAGAAAGGTGGGATCTCGTCTTAATCGCAAACATTATGTCGATTAATCGAAGGTAGCCTCTCACGATCCCAAAGTAAAGAAAATGACCCAAATGGTCATTTTCCATAGATTTGAAATCGAGAAGGTTATCGACTTTGATAAAACGGCGCTTACGAATTGAAAGACTTCATAGATCGAGAAAATTAAATAAAAATTGAAAGTGAAGAAGAAATTGAAGGAGAAAACGAAGGTGGTCTCGGACAAACCTCCATCTATCAATAATTTGACCGATGATGATTTTGGGGTCTCGTCATCGACCTAAACAAAATAATAATGAAGATAAAAGCCTAAAAAATAAATAAAAACACTAAAATCTAACTTTAGAAAAATTCATAAAAAACTCTAAAAGCTAAATTAGAAAACTCTTTAAAAAATAGCTTTAGAAACCATATAGAAACTTAATTAGAATAATTTTATAAACAAAAACTCTAAAAATTGATAAAATATATTAACAACTTCTTTAAAAAAACAATTTACAGAGAAATTTAGAAATCTAAAAAAAACTAATTAGAACATATACATTCTAAAAACTAATTTATTAAAAAAAAAGAGTCATATTAGAAAAACAAAAAGGGGTGTAGAAAGATGGGCTTTGAAGCCCATCAACCGAATCCAACCCCTATTGCCTTCAAAATCCTTTAATGGAAAGAAACAGTCGAACGACTTCTACCAACATCAAGCAGAAAAGAAAAAAAAATCACGGACGCAAAGACAGGGCGGCCATCATCAACCTCCTCCCGGCGTGAGTTCCATCTCAAACGTTCCGTTCACGCGTTACCAACGATGCAATCGTCCTTCGCTCCGGTCTAGTTTTGGACTCACGTCATATATGGGTTTCATCGAAGATTTGTGGGTTTTTCCTATTTTCTCTTCATCTTCTCTGTTCTGGGTTGGAAACGGGTTGTTATTTTTGAGGTGGATTTGGGGTTGATTTCAAAGGAGGTTAGGGTTTCATTATCTCGCGATGTAGCACGGTTGGTTTTGCGGGTGAGAATGAGATAGGGAAGAGATGTTAGGTGAAGTGTGTTGCAGGTTTTGTTAGTGGAGGATTGGGATCTGAGAAGGGTCGATGAAGGCGAAGACGGAGGTTCAACGGGTTTTGCAGAATGGTTGTTGAGGAAGGTTTGAAGAGGTATGAAGGTTTGTTGAAGGTGTTAAAAAAATGGAGGAAGAATAAAGGGTTTTCGGTCGGAAAGAAAATGATGAAGGAGGTGAGATTGAGGACCGTGCATTGTTAATGGTGATGAGGATTGGAGGGAAGTTTTGAGGAAAGGTTCCAGATTTTCATTTTTCTTTTTGCCGATTGAGGTTATGAAGGGAGAAGCTTGTTGATTGAATACAAGGGTGTCAGTCTGAGCTGGTCATCCTCTCCTTTTAACGCGTCTTGTTGTAGGCTGCAATTGAGGACTAATGGTGTCCTACCGTGAGAACGACTTTTGTCGTCTTCTATTGCGCCAGCTGTGGATAGTGTCGTAATACCGCCCTCTTCACTAACGGCTTGTACCACCCAAAAAAATCAAAAGTCCGAGTGGGGTCCTCCAGGATGTGAACCCTTTTTTTCAGCTTGTTAGATTATTACCTTTTGTCACAATTGTGGAGGATGTGTGGCTTGTGAGGGAATCCTGTCCGTAGAAAAAAAAACGGTCATGGCTGAAGGCCTTCATTGTGAAGGTTGCAAAGAAAAATGTTGGTTGCAGAATAGCTTGGCAAGGTTGTACGCATTGTGGGGAAATTTATTTGTTGTTATACGTGAGATACGGTTTCTCATGGTCCGTAATATGGTCATTAATGTTTTAAAAAAAATTCATGTGGATTGTAGAAGTGTGTATGTATACATGGCTTTGGCTCATTTAATGAAATAGGTGTAATTTTCATGTTCAAATTGGTTACTATTTGTTGCTGCAAGATGTGATTTGCTTGCTTATCCTGGTGTGGGCTTTGTAGCAATTTTTTGAACGTTTTTGTGCCAAATGGACCCTTTTTTATATTTTTTTTGTAATTCAAACGGGCTTGAAATATACTCTTACTACCCAT